CCTCAGCCTTCCGAGTAGCCGGTACTACAGGCGCGCGCTACCACGCCCGGCTCATTTTTTGATTTGTTGTAGAGATGAGGTCTCGTCAAGTTGCCCAGGTGGGTCACGAACCTGCGGACTCAGGCAATCCACTCACCCCGGCCTCCCAAAGTGCTGGGATTACAGGCTGAGCCACCAAGCCCGGCCAGGCCTACCATTTTCATCACTGGACTTAGCCCTTCTGCTACTAATCCCAGTTCCTGGGGGAGCAAACTGATTGGTGGCTTCTTGAGTGAGGAGTCCACCCCGATCTCGCGAGCTGTGACTGTGAAGGGAAAGAGGAAGGGAGAGAAGAAAGGTAAAAGTAGAGAAGCAAACGCAAGAAGGACTACGTGCAAAGCTGGCGGTGACGTCTGTGGTGGGCACTATAGACATAGGAAAATAGGCCGGGCACAGTGGCTCAAGCCTATAATCCCAGCACTTTGGGAGGTTGAGCTCAGGGATTCAAGACCAGCCTGGGCAACTTGGTGAGACCTCATCTCTACAATAAATCAAAAAAAATTAGCCGGGCGTGGTGACACGTGCCTGTAGTTCCAGTTACTTGGAAGGCTGAGGCGGAAGGGTCACCGGAGCCCAGCAGGTCGAGGGTGCAGTGGCCATGAGCATGCCACTGCACTCCAGCCTGGGCAACAGAGTGAGACTCCGACTCAAAAAAAAAAAGAGAAAAGAAATAGGAAAATAACAACAAACCGATAACAGCAAACACCAATGCAGGATTACTAGGCAACAGAATACTGTTGTAAGCACTTTACATACAGTAACTCATTTAATCCTCACTACAATTTATAATGGAGCTGCTGTTCTTTTTTTTTTTTTGGGTTGGAGTCTCACTCTGTCGCCCAGACTGGACTGCAGTGGCCGCTCCCGGCCACCGCAGCCTCGACCTGCTGGGCTCCGGCGATCCTTCCGCCTCAACCTTCCGAGTAGCCGGAACTACAGGCGCGCGCTACCACGCCCAGCTGATTTTTTGACTTATTGTAGAGATGAGGTCTCGCCAAGTTGCCCGGGCGGGTCTCGAACCCACGGGCTCAGGCAATTCACTCACCACAGCCTCCCAAGGCACGGGATTACAGGCTGAGCCGCCAAGCCCAGCA